AAAAAAAAAGAAAAAAGAAAAAAAAAAAAAAAAAAAAAAAAAAAAAAAAAAAAAAAAAAAAAAAAAAAAAAAAAAAAAAAAAAAAAAAGAAAGAAAGAAAGAAAAGAAAAGTAAAAAGAAGGAAGAGGTGGGGGATGTAGCTCAATATGAAGGTGCTGGATTCAATCCCCAGTACTTAGGGACAAATTGTTAAAAGATGAGTTATCTGTTATAATTATTCTCTCAGGAAACCCTTTTTGGAAGACTACCATCATTTTAGAACTTGAGTTTTCTAGATGTTGCCTACACTCTTTTAAAGAGAGTCTATATACCATTTTGTTGGCATTAATTTATTTTATTTAGGGCAACAAAAGACTAAACTCCCAAGTTTGTTCTCAAAAATTTTCTTTACTGTCATAAATCAACAGAAGTGAAAATAACTCATTATTTCAGTCAAATTTCATGAAAAGAAATGTCTGAAATAAAAGAAAAAGTGACATTTTATATCTATATACAAGGAAATATGTTACTCAGCACATAAATATTTGCTGGAGAAAATGCCATTCTGTAAGGTATTGGTTAGAAGATATAATACGTGGTTGTCTTTGTTACAATGTGATGACAAAACTTAAGTATACTTTATAAATATAAGTTGTTCTTATTATAGTTGGAGAATCCTAACAGATCTAAGCACAGTTTAGTATTATATATATATAAAATATTAATCCCAAATAATGCTTAATATAGATATATACATGCAAATGGATAGTAACTGTTTTGCTTAATACTGTCTGGTGATAAAAGCTACATAGGGAAAGATTGGGACTGCTGGTTTTGAATCATTACTTGGTTATTTACCTTCTCAACTTTAAATTTTTGGAGGTGGTAGTGGTCCTAGGAATCATGGCCAGGGCCTCACACATGCTAAGCAAGTGCTCTACCACTGAGCTACACCCTATACCCTCTATTTTGAGTTTCTATAAAGATCCAGTTAAGTATTTCTGAAGATTATTCCCATAAAAACATTCTATATCTTTGCTGATCAATTGTGACATTTAATTATGCTTTATTATAGGTTGTTGTCTAGTTAATCTGTTTTTAAAAGGCAGGACCCAATGTCTCTTTTTTTTTAAATTTTTTTTGAGACAGGATTTTGCTGTGTAGTCCAACCTATAGTCCAGCCTTGAACTCACTACAAATCCCAGGCTGGCCTCAAACTTGTGGCAATTCTGCTTCATCCTCCAGAGTGCTGGTATTACAGGAATGCGCCATACTAACTGGCATGGAATCAATGTCTGTTTGTTCACACTCACTTTCTTACTACTAGGGAAAGATTAATAAATTTGTTAAGGAAACAGGTATTTTTGGTTTATAACAGATATATAAATCTTAGAAATATTAAGCAATTTTTCTAATGTTCTGTGGTTATTAATTAGAGAAATAAGCATTTGAAACCATTTCTTCTATTTCAAGTGAAGGTTCTCTTTTAATGCAGCTCATTCAAGACTTCATGGTATTTCTGATGCAAAGAAAATTCATTTCATTTGCACATATAGTTGTGTACATGACAGACTCTGCATGCTTGCTCTGAAATACAGAAAAATTTCTATGGGGTTGGGCAACAATTATAAATACTGCAACCAAGATGCAGTAAAGGTAAGAATGTCAAACTTAAATTCTATTTCTAATTTTGTGTTGTATGTCATTTTTTAATGTCTCACACATGCCTCAGAATGAACACATTCACAAACAAAACGTATTATCTCTTTTACCCTGAAAACTTGCTGCTTCTTTTATTCCTTAATACAATGTCATCACACACCCAATATCTTAAATGAGAACCTTCCTTTCTGCCCCCAAATTTTATGTTACAAAAATTAAAATAAATAATTCACCTAGAAGAGAGGTAAATGTTAAAATCTATGGCCTTGAAATCTGAGTAGACTCATTACTTAAAATGAAAAGAACTGATATTTGGAAATGGATAATGAAGCTACTGAATTAAGACTAATCATACACCAATAAAAAGTTCTACCATGAGATTTCTTAACTGCTGACAAGTGCCTTTTAAAGTGGTCATTACTGCTGAATATAATTCTTAAAATCTCCATGCAGCACAAAAGTTCATATTTGATTTTATCCATCCTTTATGCCACTATCTTCTTTGATGGCACTATTTCACTCTCCCTAATGAGGTTTTCCTGTTATGTTGTTTCTTCTTGCTGTGTATTTCAATTTATAATGGTAACTTATTGTGCATTATAGTTACTAAATTGTTCATCTTCATGCTTATTTTAACATGCCTTTGACTAAACTGTAAACACCATGAGGACAGAAGATGTATCTGTCACTGATACTAAAGTACTTATAAATAAGTGTATCTAGCTAATATTCAAGAAAGCAATAATAATTTATGACTTTTTATTAGACAGATTAACTTCCTTTACTCCTTTTAAATTATTAGTAGTCAAACTACTTTCTTTTCTTATGTTAGAATTCTAATTCAGCCCTTAATGTTTATTCAGAAATTATATAGAGGCAATAATTTTATCTTTCAGATGTACAATCTAGTATTGGTAAAAATAATCTATAATGAATACAGTCTTATTCCTAAATAAAAATACAGTGTTTTATTTGAATTCATTCTCAATTTGGACATCTAAATATTATCTAAGAAAAAAATCTCAAGACAAGCCATTTACTCTCCTCCAAGCCTGGTACCCAAATGGCATATATTTTGTGTCTACAATGTTCTTGCTATTTTTCTTCATTGAAGATTTACCTCAGTTTTTTGAATGAGAAAATCAATATCATTTATTTTTGACACATCTAAAAACAATGCTTTACAACAGTAGCACTATGAAGACTTTGCTGAGAAAGCTGAATCATGTAACACAACAAACTGTACTGACATCAAAGACCTATGTGAGATCACTTCTGTCAAATACAATTATAACATTCATAAAACTAACAGAAGAGTTGGAATTGATGAAGGCAGATACACAAGCCCTAAAAATTGAAGATGGGGAAAGAGCCACAGTTTGAAAAATTAATTGTCAGCTCCTTAGATTTAGTATATAACCTGATATCTAATACAATGTGTTATTAAATAAGAAATAATTTTACTAATAGTCTTTCATACCATCTTGGATCCATCACATAGAGAACTTGAAAGGACAAGTAACTAACTTAACCAGAGAAGGAACATTCCAAGAAGAGTCACACCATTATTGAGTTTGCTAATTTATCATACATACAAAGATATGAGGCAGCAAATAAATTGTCTAATATTTCCCCCACTGCAATTTGTGACATATAAAAACTAAAGACTAAGAAACTCCTTCCTTCCCCCAAAGGTTGGCATTAAAACTTTCTAATAAATTTAGATTTGTTTCCAAATATTAGGCAGCAATATTCCAAGTTCAGTATGTTTAAAAAAATTTGGAATGATACTACAGCAGGGAGCTACCCCAGCATGGACAAGTTAAAAATAAATTTTTGGGGTGACTGTATTTTATTCACCTTGCAGATTACTGGCCAAAACCACATCTATTCTTGAGATAAAAATATAACTTTCTACTGATAAATGTACTAAAATAACCCCACAGGTCTACAACAAAGTAAAAGGAGCTATAGAAAGTGAAACCTTTAGCTGTAATACAGAAGACATTTTGCATAAAATTTCTATTGTCCTACAAGTTGCCTACTATGACAATTTATGAAATAATGGGTGGTAACTATCTTATATTACATTCGTATTTCATAGTACCTTGCATGCAATCTAACCTTGACAAGCAGCAGGAAGTATTCGTTAGTTTTCTCAGATTTTATAGTAGAGCAGGTATAAAGTACTAAAGAACTGTACTTACTTTTGGTGTTGGGCAGGAAGCTGTAGAAAGGCGAGATGTAGCTTGAGCACGAGGCGATTCTGAAGGAGTAGTGCTGAGTGAGGCTGTGTCTCGTGGGAGCACCTGAACACCACGAGAAATGATGGAATCTGGAATCTGAATAAGGGAACAACTACAGTTCAATGTAGTTCTGAAAATATCAACAATATATAAAATCAATAGCTACATCTACTTTTAGTTTTTGGGATTCTTTGCTATTCACTCTCATATAGTGGATATCAATTATTGTTAGGTATAAACTTATGCACTGATTTGTAATAGGATAATTTGAAATTTAAAATATGTCAAACATTTTTATATGAATAGTACAGCAATGTGATTAGTAGTAAAGTGTATCATGTATAAACTGGTTCTGTTATTTAACAATTTGAAATACTGAACAAGATTTTTAATTCCTAGATACTTTCCACTTCCTTTTCAGATTCATTTTCCAACATTCTTCACCCTCTCTGCTTCTAATTGACCTCTACAGAGAGCACCAGCAAATAACTTTGTGCTTCTTGGGTTTAGCTAGTGGATGGAAATGGCAGAAGACTGAGGGTAAGAGGAGAATAAGATCTGCAGTTTATTTCTTTGGTTCCCTCTCTACCAGGTCAACATAGGTTAGCTGTGTCTCTCAACTCAAGATCACAGCACCTTCTTATTTATTCCAGTTCTTTTAATATATTTTAATAGATTCCCTGGAATTATCTTGATTTCCTTTGCCACATTAGGGCTAGGAACATTAATAGTTCACTGTTATTAATTCCTTGGTAGTCCATGATGCAGTGCTGTTTCTCCCAAATTCAACCCAAACCCTTGCAAACCTAAGCCATTATAATCTTTAAAATTATTCATTAAATGCACTATCTCACTTTTGCTAAGACTATGATGAATGTATCATTTTAATTTCCATTTCTTTTGTGTGAAAAATGAAGATGATAATATTTGCCTCACTGGCTTACTGCTATGGCTTGAATCTAGATGTCTCCCCAAAGCCTCATGTAGTCATAGTTGGGGATTTTTGGAGGTGGCTAGATTTGGGGTGCGTGGATGTGGATTAAGGGTGTGATACTAAGATTAAGGGTATCAATAATGGAACCCTCATCCTGGGTGTGGCACAAATGAATATGGTTGTAGCCTGGACAGAATATAAAGATACAGAAAGAAAGCAGGCTGCAACTGCTTGGTGTGCTCACTCTGCCATGCCATGAACTGTTTCTCCTCTGTGATGTCACTCTGTGATACCACCCTGCCTTGGAGCCAGCTGATTATGTACTGAAACCTCTACAAACTGTGACCCAAAATAAATCTTTCCTCCTTTAACTTGTGGGTGTCAGATATTGTGTTTCAGCAATGAGAAAAGTAATTATGATACTTACTGGGAAGCTCAAGTAAAATAATGTACATCAATTATTTAGTACTTTGAAATAGTAAATATTTAGTGATGGCTATTATACTTATCAATATTGCAAAGACATATAATTGAGCATCACTCCTTTAACAGTAGACAAACAGAACAATAATATATAATATTTTAATATTACTAATATTTGTCATTACAAAATTTATTATTTTAGGCTACATATAATTTAGTTCACATTTTGGGCTAGCATAGGTCTATTATTCTAAGAAAGGAAACTGAAGCACTTTCAAGTTTTGTACATAAGACTTTTTTTGTGGTGCTGTGGATCAAATCCAGGAGCTCACACATTCAGGCAAGTGCTCAATCATGAGCTACCTCTGCAGCTCTGTGCACAAGACTTGAAACTCAAATCACAAAGGAAGAACCTACTAACAAATATCACTTAGTACATGAAAAGAAGGAAGAAATAGGCAGATTTGGTGATTAGAAAGGTACTCCTGATATTTTGCGTCAATTTCCTTCTCATGAAGTATATAACACTATTTCTAAAGAAGCTCCTTTTATTTAGTTTTTACACTACCATCCTAAGTACCCGTAATATTGCCATCACTCAGTGTTTGGTATTTTATGTGACAGTTTCAAGAAAAAAAGATGGTGCACTTTACAGGAGCTACTTCTTGCTACTTTGTTTACTAAAACAGGCTATCTATTGGAAAGTTTAAGTGACCCTTTTATAGCATACATGACATTGAATCCCTCTCATATATAGCAATGGCCACACTTCTACAACACTCACAGGTGTGATAGCTTGATCAATGACTATTTCTTATGCTAGAATGCACTGTCATGATAAAGCTGTGTTATTGCGACTATTTTAAACCCAGCATAGTTATAATGAAGTATATTGCAAAAGGTAATGTCTGTATGTCAAATGTGCAGAGAAAAGAAATATAATTTAGGTCTGTATGAAAGAAATGCCAAGTCACTCATGAATGTAAACCTATCGAATAAGAGCAGATTTCTCAGCAGAAACTCTGAAGGCTAGGAGGGCACGGAATGATATATTTCAAGCCCTGAAAGAAAATAACTGCCAATTTAGATCATTATATAAAATAAAGCTATCCTTCAGAATCAAAGGAGAAATAAAGACTTTCCAAGATAAAGAGAAAGTAACAGAATTTATAGTTGCAAAAGTTGCATTGCAGAAGATATGTAAAGAAAAAGTACTAGAGAACAATTAGACAAGCAAATGATTATGGAGGAACACCGGAAAAACAAAAAAATGTAACAATTGGTATATACACTTCAATAATAACCATGAATATGAATGGTCTTAATTCTCCAATTAAAAGACCCAGATCAGCAGATTGTATTAAAAAAATGCAAAATACATTGCCGCTTGCAGGAAACACACCTCACTGGCAAAGATATATACAGGTTGGAGGTGAAAGTGTAGAAAACAATATTTCATGCAAATCAAATTTGAAAGCAAGCAGAAGTAGCTACACTCAATATCTGACAGAGCAGACTTCAAGCCAAAATTAGTAAGAAGAAACAAAGTAGGACATTACGGGTAAAGGCAACAGTCCACCAAAAAGAAATAACAATCACAAATATGTACACACACCTAATTTTACAACATGGTGGTGCACTCAATTTCATAACACAAACAATGCTTGACTGAATGGAACAGGTAAGCCCCAATATGACAATAAAGGGTAACTTCAATACCCTACCTTCACAAAAAAGTCATCCAGACAGAAAACCAACAAAGCAACAGCAGAATTAGAGTATTCCATCCAACAACAGAATACACAGTCTTTACAGCAGCTCAGGGAACTTTCTTCAAAATGGATGATACGTGAGGCCATAAAGCCACTTATGACAAAAAACCCTGAAACAATTCCATGCATAACATTAGATAAAACCAGCAAGAGATACTTCAGGAACTACACAAACAAATGAAGATGGAACAATACACTTTTGAATGATCAGTGATTTGCTGAAGAAATCAGAGGTGAAACTAATCTAATGATGCAGTTTTAAGGTCTTATAAACACAAGAGGCAACTGAATATAAAACAACAAAAGAAAAATAATAAAAATTGAGCTGAAATTAATGAAACAGAGACTAAAAGAAAAACACAAAGGATCATGGGTCTCTGCAAAAATAAACAAGCTTGATAAAGCATTACCCAAACTAAGCAAAAGAAAGAGACAAAAGCAGAGACAGAAGAAGAGTATTAATAAAAGTTAATACTAAAATTCATAGGATTATTAGTATTATTTTGAAACCTTATATTGCAAAAAATTAGAAGATCTAGAAGAAATGAATAAATCTCTAGACCCATATGACTTAACAAAATTGAACCATGGGGATATAAAAACCTAAACAGATCAGTAACAAGTAATGAGACTGAAGCAATAATAAAAGAGATACCTAGAACCAGACAGATTCACTGCTAAATTTTACCAGAACACTAAAGAATATCAATGATTCTCAAACTACTCCATGATACAGAAAAAGAAGACATTCAAAGATTCTACAAAGCCATTGTTACCCTGATACCAAAAGTGGATAAAAAATCAACAAAAGAAGAAAACTACAGAGTAATACTATGATGAACTTAGATTCCAAAATCTTCAATACAATTCCTGAAAATAGAATTCAACAACACATTTAAAAAAAATTACACACCACTGTCGAGTTGGTTTTCTTCCAGTGATGCAATGGTGGTTCAACATATGCAAATCAAGAAATGTAGTGAGCTACATAAATAGAATCAAGGACACAAATCAAATGATCATTCTCACAGATGCAGAAAAAGTCTTTACCAAATTTAACATCATTTCATGTTAGCTGTGATAAAATGAGGAAGTCTTACCTCAATATAATCACAGCTATATAGGATGAAACCACACCAACATAACACTGAATTCAGAAAAATTGAAAGCCTTTCTTCAAAACAAGAAATGAGGCAAAGATGTCTACTCTTACCACTCTTGCGTATCACAGTATTTGAAATTTTAGCCAGAGAAATTAGGGAGTACAGAAAAATGAAATATAAATAAGAAAAGAGGCAGTCAGATTCTCTCTATTTTCAGATGATAATGATCTTTTCAAAGAAGTCTAAGAAGTAGCAGGATTCAAAATTATATACAAAAAACTATAGATTTTCTATATACCAATAATAAAACCACTGATAAAGAAATCAGGAAGAAAATTCCATTCACAATAGCTCTTTGCAAAATACCCAAGAAATACCTAGGTACTAGCATAATGACAGATACTTAGATTAATGAAGTAGAAGGGGGCACAGAAACATATTTGTATAGCTATAACCATATGATTTTTGACAACAGTGCCAAAAACATATACTGGAGAAAAACCCTCTTTAACAAGTGGTACTGGAAAACTAGATATTTATACACAGTAGTCTAAAACTACATCTTACCATATACAAAAATCAATTCAAAATATATCAAAGACTTATGTATACAACTGGCAACTGAAACTGCGAGAAGAAAACACAGGGGAAACACTTCAAGACATAGGAAGAGGCAATGACTTTCTGAATAGGACTCCAATAACACAGGAAATAAAGCAAGAATTGATAAATGGGATTGCAGTAAATTAAAAGACTTCTATAGAGCAGAGCAAACAGTTAACAGAGCAAAGAGACAGCCTATAGAATGGGAGAAATCTTTGTCAGCTAGTCTTCTGAAAGAGGATTAATAGCCAGAACAGATGA